GCTGAGCTGCTCCATGCTCTCGGGGCTGAGCTGCTCCATGCTCTCGGGGCTGAGCTGCTCCAGACCCTGAACGCACTGCAGACACTCACAGGCTGCTTTCCTCTTATTTAATGGTTCAGCTTTTAAGGCATTTTGGGGAAAACATCTTTAAAAGCTGCCAATAATACACATTGGGACCTTTGGGGAAGTCTCCAACTCAGAGTCTTTGTCCACAGGCCCTGAGCTCTTCACAGTGGTTGGAAACGCTCACAGGCTGCCTTCCCGTATTTAATGGTTCAGCTTTTGAGGCATTTTGGGGAAAACATTTTCAAAACACTTCCATTGGGATGTGATACAAAGCAGAACCAACTGTTTCTTTGAGTATAAGTGTTTGGGGACTTCTATATTTTTTTCAGGTTGAATCCCACGTTTCAAACCCTGTGGAAGCTTCACAAAGAAATTGGTGCTTAGTCTGTCACTCTTGGGATGCTTAAGCTGAGGTGTTTTTAGTTTTTCCCATATTCAGAAAGTTCTGACCATCTAAACATTGGGACCTTTGGGGAAGTCTCCAACTCAGGGTCTTTGTCCACAGGCCCTGAGCTCTTCACAGCAGTTGGAGACGCTCACAGGCTGCCTTCCCATATGTAATGGTTCAGCTTTTAAGACATTTTGGGGAAAGACTTCTTTAAAAAAAAAAAAACAAATAATGTACTTCTATTGTGACATGATACAAAATGGGAATTGACTGTTTCTGTGAGTATAAAAGCTTGGGGGTTTCTGTTTCTCGGGTTGAATCCCATGTTTCAAACCCTGGAAGCTTCACAAAGAAATTGGTGCTTAGTCTCTCTCTTGGGATGCTTAAGCTGAGGTGCTTTTAATTGTCCCAGTATTCTGGAAATTCTGATTGTCTAATTAATGGGGCCTTTTGGGAAGTCTCCAACCATCAGAGGGGATGACATTTTATTTTGGAAGGTTCAGCTTTGCCTGTTGTTCTGAAATGTTGAGATATTTTTGGTAGAACAGAAGTCCAGTGCTGATGTAAACTGTTGGCACATTCAGTGTGTTCTGTTCCCAGTGACACCACCAGCTGTTCTTTCACAAAGGTTTGAAAAGTGACCAAAAATAGGACAGGAATGTGGGTTGTGCTTTCCCAAACTAGGGAAATACAGGCTGTGTTTGATATGAGGTTCCTTAATTGTTCCCAGAGCTGCCTCTTCTGGATTAGTCTCCATGTTGGAATTCTCATTCAGTTGTTACTCTTGGAGAGCTGCTGGAGGGAGTTGCTGAGTTTCCATCTCTGGAAGCTCTCAGGGTTAGGCTGGACAATGTCACGGTTGGCCTGACCTGGTGTGGGGAGCAGGTAGACTTGAGGCAGGTGGGGGCACCTTCAGGGGTCCCTTTCAAGGAATAGTTCTGTTTCTTGTGACTATGCCCCTTCTCTACTTAGAATACTAAATTATTCTGTAAAATACCCCAATTTTTACAATTATAACCCTCTTTTGAAATTGGGATGTTGGAAATCAATCATGCTTAAAGTAGGACTGTTTCATTCAATTCTTTAGCCTTTCCAAAGCCTTGTCTCTTCTCCAACTAAGGATATAGGGTTTGAAGAAAAGCACTTTTGGAAAAGATGCTTGATTTAATTCCTGTCGTTTGGATTGACTTCTTGTTTCTGCAGCCCTTCAAATGCTGACAATTTTGCTGATTTTTTAAATGGAATCTGAAGATTTCTTGAAAACTTCTGTATTACACTGATCTTTTGAATCCTTTTTGGCTCAGGCTGGAGTTTCCTTGCTTTTGTAATGCTTTGCTGAAAGTGATGAAATAGAGCTGTGTTAGGGAATTCAAATGATGCTGTTTCTTTGCTCCATCATGAATCCAAAAGTATCGATAGTGAAGTTTGGTAAAATCCCTCCCTGCAGGCTTTTTTTTTTTTTTTTTTTAGAAAGTGGGATTAAGCTGTTGAAGGGAAAGCTCCCTTAGTCTTGAGCAGCCCTGTAATTGATTGCTTGGCCTGAGAAGTATTTGAAAGAAGGATTTGAATTAATCTGTTCTTTATTCACTTTATTCCTCTTTTAAATGGTTATCTGATGTGTGGCTGACAGTGAACCCACCACTGCTTCCCAGGCTTTGAAACACACCCAGCACACTCCTGCATCCCAGAGATTTGCATCTTCAGACAGTGCTCTGCTGCTTAAATGTTCTGCTTTGTCTGACACCAGGCTGCCACTGAGCAGAAAGATGCATTTCTGAGCTCTGCCACTTCACAAGTGGGTGCTTTCAAACGTAGGACGGCAAGAGAAAAATGTCACTTAACTTTGGGATCCAGTTTCCATTTACCTGTGAGCTGAACTCCCTTTAGGGAGATTGGAGCACGCGGAGTGGTGTCTCCAGGGAATCGTCCTGGCTCCTCTCCATGTAAGAGTGGCTGCCTGGAGATGTTGTATCCCTGCTTGGCAGCATGGCTGGCTCCACGTGCTGCTCCAGGTCCCCAGCACTTCATTATTCCCCATGCACAGCAGGGCAGGCAGAGCAGTTCCTGCCAGGAATGTGGGCAGAGCTGCAGGGATGGGGCTGGCTGATCCAGGACTGCTCAGAGCTTGGCTGCCTCTGCCTGTGCCAACTCCCACACGGGATTTCCACCTGTTCTGCTTCCCCCAAGTGTCCTGGCACCTCCTCGTGTTGTGCCTTGGAGCTCGTGTATGCCCTGAGCTCAGTGCTGCGAACACTCAGTATTATTTTTAATGTTTTGAGCTGAAGAACACCAAAACAACATCTTCCTGAAATGCCTGTGAGTAGCACCTCGGGCCCAAGTGAGAGAGCAGCCAAATATGTGTGTGATGAGACACAGAACGTGCTTCATTCAGGGAGCAGGAGTAGAGTAGGTGCAGAATATTCTGTCCTCATTTTAGGTGGCCAGAAATAGTTTGAGGCTTTGTCCAGTTGTGGACCTTTGCTGCCATAACACCCTCAAAAACCCATCAGAGTGCTGGCAATGCAGGAGTTAGTGCAGGGTGAGTAGGGGCTACCCAGTCCAGAGTGGAGCTGCTCTGTAGAGCTCATTTCCTCTAGGTACAATGCAGGGCACAGACAGAGGGTACACCCTCTAGTAGGGACTGAATAAATGTGCCCATGGCTTGTGCTTCTTCTTAAGGGTAGGAAGAAAAAGGAAGAAAGCCCTGTCAACTTAATCCAATGTAGAGCTGCTTCAGAGGATTCCCTGTTTTCATAAGGCTGGAAAGCTGTGGTGGGGCATTTTTGTTTTGTTACTTCAGCATGCACGTTCCTTGGTTGTTGTATTTTACTTGGGGTCAGTCAGTGCTGCAATAATTTAACTTTCCAGCGTGTAAAAGCACTTCCCTCAGGAAGCTCCGTGATGAAGCCCAAGGCTTGCTGGACAAACTCAAAGCTTCTCCTTTCTTTCCTAAATCTCTGCTACCTGGTGGAAGTACCAGTTTCAGGGCTGTAATTTAGAGCTGGAATAGTTTCCCAGGGAATTGGAAGAATGAGAATCCCAAAAGTGGGGAATCATTTTGCATGTCTGGAGGAAATGGTAACAAGGCTGGGAGAAGCTCCGGTGTGGGCGAGGTGGGGATGGAATTAAAAATTTTCTTGAGCCGGTTGAATTTTGGTTCCGAGGGTTTTTGGTGGTGTTTATCACGGCCATCTTCTGGTGTTGCGCCTGGTGCCAGCTGCGTGGTGTCCCGTTTGCAGGCGCAGAGGAGCCGCAGAGCCTGGCGCTGCTGAAGCCGCCCTCGTCCCTCAGCCGGCTGCCCGGGCAGAGCGCGCTGTTCCCCTGCGTCGCCGCCGGCTTCCCTCCTCCCCTCATCCGCTGGACCAGGGACCACGAGGAGCTTCCCACTGACGGGTGAGTGATTTGGAGGATTTGGGATTGGCACACGCCTTCCTTTGGGCCTGCAACCTGGAGAGCAGAGGCTGATCCCAAATGCTGCAGGGCTTCAAGACTCGGTGCTGGGATAAGGGAGGTAGTTCAGGAGACTTTGGAACAGTGTCAGGACTCTTTTTGCAGCCATTTGAAGCTAAGAAATCTTGTCTGAAGCAGGGAGGTTATTAAGAATAATTTACTTTTAGACTGGCACTGGACTAGAAGCAGCAATTGAGGGAATAAAGACACTGCAGGAAAAGGAGGATGAGTTGGGGTATTCTGAGTGTGAAGCCCTGCACTCGTTCTTTCTGCAGTTGAAATGTTCACTCTGTGTCAGAACATCCCACAGGAATGGAAGAATAAGTGTTTAAAGCAAAATGACACATTTTCTCGTTAAAATAGAATAATAAAACCGTAGACATGATGGCAAAAAATCAGTGAGCTTTCAGAGATGTATAGAGTGAGAACTTATACATTGTCATTGCTGGTACAGTCAGAATAATGTGGTAGAAAATCTGTATTAAAAGAGCAGAACAAATCTTATCAAGGCTGGTTTTGTCCATGTAATGAACATACTTCCTAGAACCACGATTGCAAATAGATTTTGACTGTTTTCCATGTCCCTCAAAGTCAGCAGTGAGATTAATGGGGAGCCAAGTTAATCATGGAACAAGGAGGGGTAAATTGTGACGCAGAAAGCAGCCAGAACAATGCTCAAGTCTCTGCAGCACCAGGGATATAATATATCTCTTTTTTGGCAACTCTTAAATTAAAAGAATCTAGGAGCTGGTAATTTGAACTGTCTTTGATGGGAGGCTGCTGTAGGAAATGACAAACAGCCCCTGAGAGATGGTACTGTGTCAGTGTGAAGGCACATGATTTAAATTCAGGGGGTTTTATAAATATAAGAACTCGCTCCCCTACAAAAGCTGGTGCAGACTCATTGGAGCAGCACAATCAAATGGGATGAAGTAGCAGAATAAATGTGCCTGGCAAGATCTGAATTTGTTGTTCTTGTATGTAAAGTGATGTCATGTCACATCTTTAGGAAGTTTTGATGCCCTGTCCTTCTCTAGGCTGTGGCACATTCAGGGCACAGGGAGTTAAAGCTCTCCTTTTATTTTCTTGATTTTTGAAACCCAAAACCCAGATTTTCCCACCACTGAATACAGTGCTGTTAATTCCCTTTGGAATTTGCTTCCCTCGTTCTGTGAGGTTGCCATGCTCACTTCTTAGGGCTTCACAGGTATTTTCTTTTTCTCATAATTCAGGGTAAGAAATTCTTCTGGAGAGCTGGAGCATAACATTAGTAAATATACTTGATCTTCAAATGCACACAATTTCAGCCAAGTCTAACCTGATTTTTCAGAATATTTAGCATTAGTTTTAGTGTTTTGCCTTTTGTTACAAGAACAGGTTCCAGCTGACTTTTTTCTTCTTGCAACACTTAGCTCTTTTCTTGAAGTGAAATGTGTACTCATTGTAGGCTTGAGTTTTAAGGTAGGTAAAGGTAGAAATTTGGTCTTTTTTCCCCTCTGTGGGGTAAACTTTTTTCATTGTTCCTTCAAGTGATCAAACTGAGCAAAGCCCCCAAGTCTGCTGCTTGTGAATGTGGCTGAACAGGGCAGAGATTCAAAGAGCTGAGAACAGAAACCTCTTCAACTCCATTCACCCTCCAGCTATTGTGTTATTGGTGTGAATAGAATAACTAGAAAATCTCCAGAAATTAAGATTCTTTGTTGGAGAAAAGCCTGCAGTTACTGTTGCTAAATAGCTACCTTAGCTTGTTATGCATGGTCTGTTAATGTAATTACAAATTAAATCACATTTAATTTGTATTAAAATCCCCTTTTGATATAAAAGTACGACTTTCTTAGCGTGGCTTTTCTTTATCCCAAGAAAAAACGGATTATTTTCATCTGGGCAGGTTTTAATGTCCCTTCTGCCTGGGAAAAGCTCTGAAATCCCAGTTTTGTTTATGCACACCCCCACCCCAAACATTAACATACATCTATATAGCCATATATAAATATAGCCATATATAACGGGACATTTCTCTCTGTGTGTTTGGGCTTAGGAAACAAAACTCAGACAGCATGGGGAGATTGTCCTTAATTTTGACCCCTTGTTAAAGGGTTTTAACACAAAACCTTCTTTTTACTTTTGCCATAACTGTGGTAATTAATGAATGCAAGGCAGAATGTTTGCCTTTCAAGTTGTATTCCTGAGGAGAATATGGATAGGAGTCTGTATGTATAGGAAAATAGATTAATTTTAAGGATAGGGAGTGGTAGGGTTTTGGTATTAAATATGTGTTATAAGATCTGGAGAAGAGGGAAGATTATTAAATTTGATGGATTATTTGTTGAAGACTGCAGTAAGATTTATGTTAATGGATAAATATGAGTAAACTTGAGTGATGGCAGCTTTGGCAGTTGTTCAGACAGCCTGTAATGAAATATATTGTGAAATTAGTTGCTCTGATAAAATATTTTCCAAATTAATTAGTGTGAGAGAAGGAAGCTTTGATGTTGGGTGAGAAAAGGAAGTTTACTTAGTGCTCCAAGTTTCCATTGGAACAAGGCTCTTAGAATTTCAAGGAATTCTTCTGAGCTCACTGACTTGAAGATTTTTAAAGAAATCTGATGGAGAGACTGCTGACTTCTTGGTTCTCCATAAAGAATGCCACTAAAGACTAAGAAGCTTTCCCTTGAACTGATTCACTGGTCCAACTTGTAATCTTCATATTTTGTAATTTTCCCAAAACTCCACTGTCTGTAAAGAAAGGAGAAGACGAAACCCTGCTTAGGTTGAGGTGGAGCTCCAAAATCCAAAGGAGGGCTCCAGCCTTCTGTGTGGCCCATGGTAGCAGGTGGCACATGGACAGACATCATGCACATCATCCATGGGCTCAGCACTGGGAATATCCTCCTGCTTTTCCAGCTGGATTGGCTCCATGGACTGAGTCAGTAGTATCTCTGCCAGGAATTTGAAGAATGCTGAGGGAAATGGAAGGAAGCAGGGAAGGCACTGAAGTATGAAGTTATTGGAATAAATCTTAAGCCCTTAATGGAAAACTTCCTAAAGTAAAATCTCCTGTAGTGTCAACATTGCTTGGTACAAACGGCTAGAATGGAGGTGTTCTATTCAGGCTGAGTAGCTCTTCAGGTTTGAGCCAACTTGGAGCCTTTCTTGCCTAGTGAGTATTTTTTATTTCAGTCTCCAGTCTGGCTGAGGATCCTGCTGTGTGAAGGGTCTGTTCTTCGGCAAGTGCAGGATTCACTTTGTGCTTTTGACAATTCCTGACTTGGAAAGGGAAGTTCCAGGTGACTGCCCAGGTGGATTTGTCCCCAGAGCTTGGGATGCAGGCACAGAGAAATATCTGGAAGATAATCTGCTCTGAAAACCTAGCAGTGTGTGCTCCAACAGCATCTATTGTATCTTCATTTATACTGGGACATGTCTGTGGGAGAAGGAGCAAATGCAGGTGCCACGGGATCTGAAAAACCTGCAGCAGATGAGAAGGTTCGTCTGAAACGAAACCATTGAAAGGACTGGAGCAGAAACATTTTAATGTCTGTAAAGTCCAGCAAGCTCTGCAGCAGGTTTCTGCTGTTCAGTTTAGCAAAATTTCATGTAATTGAAAAATTCCTGCAGAAACATGGTTGTACATGTAATACTTCCCTTCAGTGAGGGGACGACAGCTGAGGGCACTTGTGCCATGTTCATTTCTGCTCTGCTGGCTGTGCTCACATGAAGTCTGGGATTGTATGATCACATCCACATCCCTAATGCAGGGTTTTCCTTAGTGCTTCCCACAAATGTGTCAGATTCCCATTATTACACATTTCTGTTTGCAGGGTTCTGAGTGATTGGTACAAAGTGAATTAAACTTGCCCAGCTCAGGAAAGGTTAAGCATAGCTGAGTAATTATGGAGATTTTTCTGGTAGTAGATCCCACAAAATAATCTAATTTACTGTCTAATTTTATCTGCTGTACTTACTGAGACAGCAAATAGATTATAAGATGTTTGGGGAATAGTAATTTAAAAGAGGGAAGAAAAGCCCAAACCTCAGGGTATAACTGACAGTTTGACTACAGTAAATTAATAAAGGCTCACTATATTTTGTGATAATGAAACAGAAGGAGCCTGTGAGTGAGGCATCCGGAGTAGCTCAGTAATTGTTTGTTCTGGGGGTGCAAGTGAGGGCTGTATGGAATGCATATAAAAGGCTGGAATTTGATTTTCCTTTTCCCTGACATCTGAGTGATCAATCTTTGTTGTTTTTAATGACACTTGAAATTATGTTATCACTTTTATATTAAGCTGATTCTTTGTCTCCAGTGTCTGAAATCCGATTGCCTCGCTCTTTTGTGAAAATCCTTCATTGTCCTTACAAAATTAAGATGTTTTGTTTTATTATAAAAGAAGCTTTGCTTTAAGTCCAGAATTTTTCCACAGCTGATTCATACAGAGGGAATCACCAAGGAGTCTGGCAGATAAATTGTTTTCTTCCATTAAACTTCCACTGAATCACCTATTGGGAAATTGAGCCCAAATCTAGGTTATCTGGAGGAAAATAATCAAAGGGAATACAAACGTGGCACATGTTGAGATGGCTGAACAGGAGAATTCCCACAAACATTCGGATGCTGCAAGTAGTTTGTGAGATCCCCTAGGACAAGCTAAAGTGGCAAGCAGGAATAGTTTTTAATAGTTTTAGTAGCATCTGAACTGCTGTCAGTAACTTTCCCAGCGGCTGGCAGAGGGAAAGGAGCGCCCTAAGGCACGCGTTGCTTTTAGAGGGTAACAATGGATATCTTGGAAAAGGCATTAATGTCCTCAAAATGCCACAGACGCGCTGATGGCCTTTGATCATTCCTTCAGCATGTGCTAGTGGCAGTTCCTGGGGCACAGCTCCTTCCCTGCTCCATGTCCCGCTGTCCCTGGCAGATCCAGCTCCCTGCTTTCATCCCAGCCCTCAGCACATTCCCTGCTGCAAGAACAAAAAGTCAAAGCAGCTCTTTTACATAATAAAAGAAGGTTGAAAATTTCACGGATGGATGTGTCAAGGTCCAGGCTTGTCTTACTCTGGGTGTTTTTCTTTAGGCCTGGTTTTAGAGCCTGTCTGATGTGCCATTCCCACGCAAGGAAAGCCTGGGACATTTTTCCCAGCATTTGGGAAACTCTTAATATGATTTTTCAAATTCATATCTTCACTCAAATTCCCTGCACTTCTTCCAAGTTACCTTTCTATAGTCCTGGTGTTTCTCATGGGAACAGTATGGCTTTCCTTACAGAGCACCTGGACAGGGGACATCTCTTTGGATGCTTTTAACACTTAATGACACTTATGTTTTGTTTGCTCTGCTTTTAAATGTAATAACCAGAAATTTGATCAGCAGTTACAGTAGGATCATAAATCAATACTTATCAGATAAGTAAGAGTGAGATGAGGCAAAAGGCTGAGTCCCAGCAATGTACCTGTCCAAGCAGGTCAGGATTGGTGCTACTGGTGTAATTTTAGGGAAATTTCAAATGGAGAAAGCACTGAGATTGATTTTTGTCCATTGGCCATTCCAAATAGAGATCAAAAAGGCCATTGTTGTAATGTTCATACATGGGCAGAATTCTGTCCCTTCCTGCCCACAAGCCATGGCTTGAGAGTGCCAGGCAGGAAGCCACCAGGTTCCCTTCCCTGTCCCCCACTCTTCCTTTTCCAGCTGCAAACAAGAATGGCTCTGGGTCAGCATCCAAACACAACTTGTTGTCCTGGCTTGGGGTTCTTGGCATTTTACTGGAAAGTTTATTTGGTATTTCATGTGGAAACTTGGAGGGAGTGTTGAAGGAGCTTGGAAAAGTCATGTACAAATTTGTGTCAGGTGAAGGTCAGTGATGGCTGCAGTAGGAGGAGGATGTGGCTGGAGGCTGAGGGTGCTGCACTGAGCATGAAGTGCCACCTTTATCAGCCCCATTTAGCAGCAAAAGCAGAGAGATTGTAAGGGCTGGGTTAGAAACCCTTCCCTGCCCTTTGCAAGTCAGAGGGGGAGGGAGGTTCTGTACAGACCTGTTGTCACCCGATGATTCTGTATTTTGAATTTCTTATAACCTGTATCTTATTCTGAAGTATTTCATCTCTCAGGGGTGGCTTACCTATTCACAGAATTGAATTTATATTTACATTGTATAATGTGAACTGTTGTCCTTGTGTTGTAAAGGCACAGTCTCTCCTGTTGTACTTCCCTCAGCTTTCCAAGCAGTCAGTCATTCCAGCTGGATCTGCAAAATGTCTTTTTTTTAATTATGTGATTACAGTACCTCATTTTTCTTCAGTTCTGGCTGCTCTCTACTAAATACCTTGGATCACATTTAATTAAGAACAAGTGAAGCTGCAAGTGCAAAAGGATGAGCTGCTCTTGTGGAATTGATAGGGTTGAACTTAATTTTTAGTGTGGGATGTGATGGTGTAATTACAACTCCTCTGTGTCCCAGACTGGGGTGGTGTCCATGGAATGACCCTGTCCCTGTGTGTGCAGGTGTGAGGCTGTGTCCCTGTGTGCAGGTGTGAGGCTGTGTCC